AAAAAAAAATAATAATTTTATAAATAAAGTATAGAGAGAAAATTTAGAAATAAACTAAAATTTAATTGGATATTACTTATTATTTATTATTTGTAGATCATACATCAAACTATATGTGTGTATGACGTACAACCTAACTGTCTTATTTTTATTTATGAAATATGTATAAAACAAACTACATTACATGTTTTATTCATTTATTTTGTCAATATTAATAATACTATACGAAATGTATAATATTATAATAATGTAGTTCATCTTCCTCATGTTTACAATAATTCTCCAATTTCTCTTCATTGTAATAGAAGCATTGTAAAGTCAGCGTAGAAGGAAAAGAGTGAGAACTTTGAAAATGCATACAAAAATTTAAAAAAGCCATCTGAGAATAAGAACAATTATTTAACAAAATTTTCAGAATGTTGAGATTTATTATCGCAACAATTTCAAACGGAGAGAAACCATTGATTTACCTGACAAAAAACTGCCAGCCAAAGAATCGTCGTCCTGAGCAGCAATCGATCCGCTAAGTAGGAGAAAAAGGACGATGCCCCCAGGGACTGTTCTCAGTATCATCTTCGCTTTCCTCATTCTCTTTCTCTCTCTCTCTTTCTCTCCTTCTTTTTCTTTCTTTTCCGCTTCTTTTTCTTCAATTTAAAAAGGTAACCGCAAAAACAGTTAAAGGAAGACACACTGTGTCGTTACCCGGTTTCGAACACGTGCGTGTCAAACTACTTTACCGCGAGTTCGGCAGCCACGGTATTATGTGGGCCCGCATTGCCTGTTAGACTTGTTTGACTGACTGACTGACTGACTGAGGAGGTACCGGGGCCCACTTGTGGGTCAGGGTGCGGGTCCCCTCTTTTACACCAGTTGGAAAAAGGAGAGAAAAGAACGAAAGCGGAGAAATAGAGAGAACGATCGTCGACGACCTCACTAAGAATTACGCAAAAAGAGGGGGAAGGGTTGTTGGCATTAAAATCAGATACTTTTGAAAACTTGCAACTTCCCGTCTCATTATTAAAAGCTTTAATTTTTACTGACTGCGATTATGAAGCAACGGTAAGTTAATAAGACATCAGTAAGAGGAAACGATGAATCAAAATTTAAAAAATAAACAACAGGTCTTTATTATTTATCACATGATAACAAATTTCTAACCATTCTCTAACACGTTTTAATAGTTAGAAATTTAAGGCATGTATTTAACATTGCCAAACGTCATATGTACGTTAAAATTAAATTTATGTATGTAATTATTATTAATTTATTAGTAACTTAATTTCACTATTTTGACAACAGCTCAATTTAAAAATTTTGAATTGATATAAATCTCATGAAAAATAAAATATTTAATAGCATATATTATTAATAAAATTAGTAACTTAACATGTTATAATACAAAACACGTTGTAACGTACATCGAGTCATCCCTAAACTTAAAACGATTGCTATATTCACTTTTGTTTCATTACATTTAATTACTATTTTATATTTTTAACTTATATATTAATTTAACTGATTTTTGTTATTATTTAATCTCAACTATATTTCTTTTTTCTATTTTTCATGTTCACACTGTCCTTCCTCTTTACCTCTCTCTCGCTCCCATCCAACTTTTTTCTTCCATTCCCTCTTTCTCATTGCATGTATATGTAAGTATATGTGCACGACTAGCGGTACTTTACCCGTAAATGTACAGGATACCGTACGATATTTCCCTTTGGAATTTATCGTTCTTTGCGCAACGGTCAATTCTTCGTAATCATAGTACGATATTAACATATGTCTCCTTAAAAAATCTAAATAAAAAGATGATTTCTTTAAAATTTTATTATTCATTTCAATGTTCCAAGTGTCATTAAGTATTTAAAATTTTATTATTCATTTCAATGTTCCAAGTGTCATTAAGTATAAAAACTACTTTTTAATATGTTTACATAATATACAATAAAAAATATAAAATGGCATTGCACCAGTTAATAGCACTTATTTATAGTATTAATTCTTATAGAACAATTAAAATCACAAAACATGTTTAATTAAAATAATTAAAATAATTAAACTTAAATAGGTAAACCTAATTGCAATGGATCAACTAATGTAAATTTTTCTATACATTCAATTAGCCATATAAGTGGGAGTGTCTTTATATGTGGCATATTATATTTTATAAATGGTTCATTTTTCTTTGGGTCATATATGACATAATGTGTACATTTATATAAAGGATGAGTAGGTTTACTTGCAATATGGAAAGGAATAAACTGTCCTTTGTCTTTTATATTTTCTGGATTTGGTTCTCTTTTCAAAACTGTTCCACCACCTTCTTGTATTAATGCCAATAATGCATTTTTTGTTAACGGCATATTATTTATGTAAACATTCTTTGATTGCCACGCAAAATAAAAGTAACAATGATTAAAGAGACCCGGATTCTAAAATGATAACCAAAAATGTTTTAATAAATTATTTAATTTTCTTGTACAATTAATTTCACCTGATTGCAATTAATTTTACCTGATTCTGTGCACTTTCTCTAGCTATTTTTGGAATACCTTTAATTGGAGCACCACTAACTTCAAATATTTCTAAATCTTCTTTCAATATATCACCTATATCCATACCTAATTGAATCCCTTTTATAGCACAAAATATTATAAAAATATTATAAAAATTTGTTTTTTTTATTGTATTGGTAACTATATACAAGTTACCAATTTATAAATAAACTTACATTCAGTATTAAGCAACCAAATTCCACGTAGAAGTGCCATCATTACATCATATGACAATTGTACAACATTTGCATTATTGGCTTCTACTATGACGTGAGTCACAGATGATCTACAGTATAAAATATTATATGTAATATTTATAATTTTTTACACTTAATTTTTAACACAATTAATGTACTAAAAAAACATCAACAACATACTGAAATGTAGATACAACTTTAATTTTATTCTTTGAAGCTATTTCATTCAGGTATTTTTTATTCTCTTCTTTCAAGTCTGATGCATATATAACAACTGTATTAAATGTCCTTGTTGTAGTAAATGATTTATTCAAAGTATGATTAAGATCTTGTTTGGATGCATTATCCAATTCATTTTCATCTTTCAAAATATTCCACATCTCACTATATGGTATACAATAATCTCTAAAATATGAAGTAATAATGCAAAATTATAAAATAAGAGTAGATATTACATGATTAGCAGAAAATTACATACAATAAATAAATATTAAATAAATATTAAATAAATATTATTTAATAAATTTTAAAAAAATAAATATTAAATAAATATTAAAAAAACAACTTTAACAACTTTAACAATTTTATACTTTTATAAGTTTATATATATATATTAATAATGAATATTATCTTTAATAGTTCAATAAATCAATATTAATTAATACATACATAGGCTTTTTTCCAGAATTATCATGTACATCTTTACTAGCTGAATATTTTAGCAGTAGTTTTGCTTCTGTTAATCTATTTTCTTTAACAGCTTCATGTAATGCTGTTCTATTTCCTTCGCCAGGTGTATTTGGTAATGCACCACATTCTAACAATAACCGACATATGTTGGTGTGTCCAAAACTTACAACTTCTTGCTATATAAATTATATTTATGATATACACAATTTAAATATAATTTTATTTTATTTTACAATAAAATAATTACCAAAGGAGTCCAGCCAGAAAAATCCTTTGTATTTGGATTTGCACCAGCAGCTAATAGAGCTTTTATGTAATCCTCTTGAATTTCCCCCTAAATTTTGTTTCATAGACTTTTTACTTTTTAATTAATTATTAAATCCAATATATTTACCTTTAAACATGCAATATGTAATTGTGTTTCTCCTTTATTGTTTAATTTATTTATGTTTTTCTTTGGTATATGATATTTCGAACATGGTGTAGAAGTATTTTTTGTCATTGTAGGTAATTGTATTGCATTTGAATTCCTGGTCAAATTCCATAAATCTCTATTAAATTTAAATTTAATTTATAAAATCTAACTTACAATAAAGTTTTGTAAAATTAAACATATTTGCTTCATATGCATATTTAACATGATTCAAATAATGTATAAT